AGGAGCTGGTGCCCAGCATGCCCCAGAACAAGAAGGTGAGCAAGATAGAAATCCTGCATCACATCATAGACTACATCTTGGATCTGCAGATCGCCCTGGATTTGCAGCCCACTATTGCCAGCCTTCACCACCAGAAGCCGGAGCAAAACCAGTCCTCCAGAATGCCGCTGACTACCCTCAACACAGACATTAGTATTTTGTCCTTACAGGCTTCTGAATTCTGAATTCCCATCTGAGTTAATGTCAAATAACAGCAAAGCACTTTGTGGCTAAGTGAATGGTGTTCATGACTATGGGTTTTTTTGTTGTTGTTGTTTTTGCACAACAACAACAACAACTCCACAGGATCTTTTAAGGTGCTGAATTTAATTTTTCAACCATTTCACAGGAGAGGACAACAACAAATTGAATGGACCATTAAAAGAAAAAATGGGAGGAAAACTAAATGATCATCTTCCCTAGGGTCTTCTTGAAAATGATTTGGACTGATAATAGTTATTTATGAAAAAGACTTTTCAATGCCCTTTCTGCAGTTGAAAGGATTTCTTTATGTACTATTCCCACCATGGGGAGCAAAAACATTAAAATCTCAAGGAATTACCTTTTTTCAAAAGTGGAGCGTGAATACCAAAAGGATCCAGTGTTCAGTTACTTAAATGAAGTCTTTTGGTCATAAATTACATTTTTGATGCAAGCCTCTATTATTTATATATCTATATAGATATAGATATATGTTGTTGTTAAGTGTTGGTTGGGATAGTTTGGAATTTTCAGTAAAATGCTACTGTTTCATGTTGCTGAGGCTGTTCTGTCTTGTGGGGGGACTGAGTCAAAAACAGGGCCAGGAAGTGGCTTCAAGGCATCTTCCTTTTTCCTTTTCCAGAAGCAGTCCTGTTGGGCAAACCTGCCTGGGCAAGCGCATTGGCAACAGCTGGTGGGATGTTGCTGTCCCTATATCCAGAACCTATTTCGGGAGCAAGTATTGGATGCAAGCCTATACCATTCCAGCACTGACCTGGCCAGGGCTCTGGGGTTCATGAACTAGAAGAGAACAGTGGAAGTCTTAGCTTATGTCCCTAGCTCCAACCTGACCTCTGCATAATGTCAAGTCATTACTGCTTTACCCTTGCTGGTAATACTACCCCACCCTAACACTAAGGCTCAGCACTAAATCTTGCTCCATTTGCTCTTTCTGTTTCATTAAGCATTTAAGGAAGGAAGATCATTAGAAGTGATAAAATTTTTTTTAAAAAAGGCTTTCTCAACTCACAAATTTTAATAATTTTAGGGGTGCCCAACTGGAATTCTTTAACGTTTCCAGGGTCAAAAGAGCAGACCAGAATTTTGGGCCAAAACTGTCTTTCTTAGGAGCTCTGGTAGCATAGTGGTTATGAATCAGGCTGTGAACCGCAAGGTCAGCAGTTCAAAACTACCAGCTGTTCCACAGGAGAAAGATGAGGCTTTCTGCTCCTGTAAAGATTTACAGCCTCAGAAACCCTGTACAGGGTCACTGTGAGACCGAACCGACTCCACATCACATAACAACAACTGTCTTCACTTTCAGCAAGCAAGGTTGTACCATCTGAATATCACAGGTTGTTACTGAGTCTTCCTCCAATCCTGATGCCACGTTTTTCTTCATAGAACCCAGCTTCTCGTATTATTTGCTCAGCATACAGGTTGAATAAGTATGGTGAAAGAATACAACCCAGTCACACACCTTTCTTAATTTCAGTGTTCCCATGTTCTGTTCGAACAACTGCCTCTTGGTCCAGGTACAGATTCCTCATGAGCACAATTAAGTGTTCAGAATACTCATACTTTGCAATGTTGTCCATAACTTGCCATGATCCACACAATCGAAAGCCTTTGCATAGTCAATAAAGCACAGGTTTATATTCTCTGCTTTCAGCCAAGATCCATCGACATCAGGAATGATATCCCTCATTTCATGGCCTCTTCTGATTCTGGCTTGAACCTCTGGAAGTTCTGTCATTGTATGCTTGCTGCCATTTTTGTATTACCTTTTGTAAAACTTTACTTGCATGGGATATCAAAGAGATTGTCCGAAGATTTACGCATTCCGTTGGGTCACCTCTCTTTGGAATGGGCACAAATACAGGATCTCTTCCAACCAGTTGGCCAGATAGTTGTCTTCCAAATTTCTTGGCAGACATGAGTGGGTGCCTCCTGCGCCGCCTCACTTTCTTGAAAGATTTCTATTTGTATTCCATCAATTCCTGGTGCCTTGTTCTTTGCCAATTGCTTCAATGCACCTTGGACTTCATCCTTCAGTATCATGGCTCTTGATCATATGCTACCTCTTGAAATGGTTGAACATTAACCATTTCCTTTTGGTAAGTAACTCTATGTATTCCTTCCTTCTTCTTTTGATGCTTTCTGCATCATTCAATAATTTGTCCAGAGGATTGTTCAATAATGAAAGTCGAGGCTTGAATTTTTTCTTCAGTTCCCCCAGGTTGAGAAATGCTGAGTGTGTCCTTCCTTTTTGGTTTTCTGATTCCAGATCTTTGCACATTTTGTTGTAAAATTTGGCTTTATGTCTTTCTTATGGTTAGTACTAATTACTGAAAAGGATTTGAAGTATAAATAAATCATTTATTTATAATCACACAGTAAGCTACAAGACAGGTAAAGAGCACCCAAAACTGTTGGTTTCAAATTTAGTGCCACTTCAACGGTGGTGGTGATGATGTGGAGCCTATTCCAACTCATAGCAACCCTGTATAGCATTTCCGAGGTTGTAAATTTTTATGGGAGCTGAAAGCCTCATCTTTCTTCTGTAGATTTGAACTGCTGACCTTGTGGTTAGCAGTACAATTCATAACCCACTATGCTACCAGAGCTCCTTGCCACTTCAATAGTGTAAGTTAAATCTTTAAGTTGGTTTTGTGAGCTAATATTAAGCTTGTTTTTGGTGAATGGAGTTTCATTTTTTTTTAGAACCATCACTTCAGTTGTCACCTCTAAACCAACATAGTTACAATTCACTGGAGACCTATTGAATGTTGAAGTGAAAATGTGGCTGGAGACTAGGGGCCTTCCTTACACCTCATTCAGGCTTCTATGAGGGTCTGAAGTCTGAAATGGTGTGGAGTCCTGGTGTGGTGCTGCGGGTTAATGCGTTGGACAGCAAATTTGGTTTGAGCTACAAGGTCGGCGGTTCAAGCTCAGCATCCACTCCTTGAAAACCCTGTACAGGGCCCCTATGGGTTGGAACTGACTCAACGGCACTTATCAACAACAAAGTCTTTCAGTCCTACAACTTCTTTTTAAGTGCCTCCAAATAATTTCCCTGCCTTTTCATATTAGATTTTGTTTTTCTGACATAGAAAATAGAATATAGTGAAAAGATGAAAGTAGAATTTTACCTTAACTATCAAAACACTATTTTCTGGAACAGAAACATTCTGTTACCACCCTATGGCCAGCTGCTCTTTGGGAGAGTGTATTGGGACCTCATTGCTTTTTTTCTTAAATTGTTGTTAATAAATGTTTTTGTTTATCATGTACGGAGAAGAAAAATCTTCATTTTCTTTTTGTTTGTTTATTTTTAAAGAAACCTATCCACCAACTGAAAGTCATCAGATGGCTCTATAGGAAGGGTGAGGTCTGGCATCTGAACCCAGGTAGAAATGGCAGCTCCAAGCTGGGTCCTGGGCCCGATATCATCAGCATTCTAGCTCCTTCTAAGAGCCCAGGTATCATGGAAGCCCACTCTGTCTGCCACAGGTAGTTGTTGCTTTGTTGTATACTGTCAAGTCCATTCCAGTCCTGTAGGAAGGAATATCCTACTCATAGAAATTAGTAGGAGTACAGCTAACACCATTAGCCAATACAAAAAATGAAAAAAGATTAAAGTGTATCTGGAAAATACAACAAAATATTCATATCATTACATATTCTGAATCAACTCCCATCCTTTCGGACATAGCATATGCTTGATTTATAAATGAGCAAATTCTCTCTGATGATTTTTATTGTCAATGTGCCCACTATTAGGGATTTAGAACCCATTACCTAGGAAGCCCCTCCATGGAGCCCTGTTCTCAGAATTCTATCCTCAGAGCATCAAGGTTTGGATTGCCATAAAGTACATTCTAGAAAGAAGAGGTTGGCAAAGGTCACAAGCTCCTCTGGCATGAGTTTGCCTTTACCGCCCCACTGCCCGGGACCACACACAGCTATTCTGATGAGAAAAGCTCTCTGTGGACACATACTGAACAAGAACATGATAAAGAGGGAAACTCAGCCTCAGCCAGGAATGCTGCCACAGGGAACAAACTTGGAACTACTCAGGAGTGGTGTCAAACATTAACACCTTATTTACAATTCTAATTTAGAATCTAGTCCTTTTTAAGTGCAGAAGGAGGAAGAAGGAGAACCATGCATGAAATAAAAAATAGACATATACACACTTAAACTCCCACACTTTCATGTGTCTTTTTCCCATTTTCCCTACAAGGAACAAGTCAAACAAAGGAAAAGCCCAGTCACTATATTTACAATGACCTTGTTATGGAAGCTCTAGGCAGGCTTGGATTCAGGAGGCAGGCTTTAGTCTCCTTAGCCCCATTCATCCTTGAAAATTTACTGAGAAAATACTTGGGACTCAGGCAGAGAATATCCAGATGAGACAAGAAATGATGGCTCACTTAACTTATACATTATACACAAGGGCATCAGTTTCTCCAAGTACTTCCACATTTGGTCCTTCACTAGCTTCTTAGCAGACTTCTAACCTGCAGCATCAATGCTCAGTCAAGCTGTGAGGCACAGGAAAACAGTTCATTGATCCTGCATGCACTGGGTCAGTCACTTCATCCAAGACAGTCACACATGCCAGCCCCAAACATGTCCTCAGGGACTGCAGCTGTTTGCTTTGTGGAGAGATGTTTGGGCCTTTTCCCATCCTAGATTCTCCTGGTTGCTGAAGCCAAGCTTGCCACCATTCCCTGTGGGCCCAAGACAGCTGTTACGTGTGCGCGTTTAATTTACTGTTCCGCTGCAGCTGGCTGGTCCCCAGCCTCTGGCTTCTCAACCTGTGACTCGGGAGGAATCAGATACTGGACCTCTTCTGTGCTGATGGCTACTTTATCTGGCTGGAGCCACCTCTTGAAGTGTTCCAAGGTGCTACAAAAGAGCAGGAGAAAAGGGTGGCTGCCTTAGATCTGGAGGATTAATTACTTAATGATCATCTCAGTTACTCAAATTCTGCCTACCCACCCACCACCAATTTCCTCCTACAGTTGTTTTTCTCTGAGAACACAGAGAGAGCAGCGATACTCTGACAGCTGTGCATCCTGGCAGCTCAGTGGCGTAATTTACCCCCTAGTGGGCACTTGGGCTATAAGCAGCACCAGGCCCCATTCAGATGCAGAGCCTCAGAAGGCTTGCTGAGAATAACTGAGGAGCTAAATGCCTCAGTCCTGTTTTTTGGGGTTTTTTTTTTCCCCTTCCCCTAAAAACTGAAGATGAGGGAAATTGCCAAGGGGTAGAAACACTCAAATAAATACCAAATTATCAGTGAGGCAGAAACCTAGACATCTTTAAATCTCTTATACCTGAAACAGTCTGGGACTCAATTATACACCTAGCATTTACCTACACTGGGTAATTTTTTGTTTGTTTGCTTGTTTCAGCCTACAGCAAGTCTCTAAGATAGAAGTGTCTGAGCAGCAAATGTTTCCTACAAAGGAATGACGACCTTTTTTGTCTGGATCTTTGGGGAGGGGCCTACCTTCCTTAAGTACCCAGGATCCTCTACTCTAAAGTGATTATACATTCACAGTAAAATACAAATAACTAGGCATAATGTATATATCATTCTATGCTTGTCAACAACACAAGACATAAAGCCATAACCAGGCTACTTTTAGACACCTGTTTGGGGGAATTTCATTGTTTGAGAAATTACATGTTAGGAAGTTGGATTTCTCAGCCATTCAAAAAGTACACCAGGAGGGATTCACCAACTTGGACTTCAATATATACATGGAGACACACAATTCTAATACAAAGTGGCCATTGTTTAAAGCATAAACTTTGAAGTTTGAAAATAAATGCAGATATACTGTTTCCTGATGCTTGCTCTGAACAAAGATACCATACACACACACACACACACACACACACACACACACAAAGCAGTTCCACAGATGTAAGTCAGACAGAACAAATCCAAACAAGAGCCACCCACTGACTCTAATGCCCACAGGTAAAGGGAAACAGGTGTGACAAGGGTCTATCACACTTTTCATAGAATTAGTAATATTATTTTTATAGAAAAGGTGTCACAGGTATTGATAAACACATGGAAATAGTAACCTGAGTCTTGGTTTCTAAATGATTTCAAAAAAGAGAAGTAGGAATCTACTTGACAATTATGCAGGAGAAATTTTCATCTTTTCTTCTCAAAACCAGAGAAAAGGGAAATATTCACGGGGAGAGAGAATGTAAGTACAACTAAGTTATTAATGGGTCAGGAATCTGTGTAGCTTCAAACCTCCTAGGTCTGGGCAGTTGGAGGCTCAGTTAGTTTGAACCTTTGGAAGCTCAGGTAGCTTGAGCCTTTAGAGATAGAAAAGAACAAAATTTAAATCCTCTTCTGAACTCAGGTGTTGCCTGACCTTTCATCAGGCACTGCCTTCTGTAGGCTCTAGGGCAGGGCACACTGAAGCAGTAGCTGAGATAATGTAAGTGAAAGTACTTAGAAAAACAAAAAGTAAAATGTAACCATGAAGTTTCACTCCCATATTGTCCATGACTCCCACACCAAAACCTTCATCAAAGTCACTGCAGTTAATACAGTGAAAGTTAATACAGTGAAAACCGTGAGAGCCAGAACTAGATAGGAGTGCCTTGTTTTTCCGGGTCATCATACCAATTTGCTGCTGCCTTTGAGACTATCGCTCTCTGTTTAGTGGAAAAGATCTGTGTTTTCCTTCTCTGACAGGTTTCCGCCTTACGTAGGTTCTGGCTTTTGTAAGTTTTACTGTATGCTTCAACTTTAAGCTATGTCATATTACCCCAAAACCTTTTGTTAAAATTTAGGTTTTTACTCCCTCAGCCCCCTGTACCAACTTTTTCTTTTGAATAATTTCTTACCCTTGAAATTCTGTTAAGAATAATGTTAATAATAACTAACACTTACATAGTACTTACCATGTGCCAGACACTGTTTGAAGCACTTCATACGTGGTAACTCATTTAATTCTCACATCTTATGAAGTAAGAGCTATTACACCCACTTTACAGAGAAGGAAACTGAGGCTCAGAGAGGTTATTTGCCCGAGAACATTCAAGTATTAAGTGGCAGCCACTTTCCTGAATATCAAGCACACTGTACAGGGTCGCTATGAGTCGGAACCGACTCCACGGCACATAACAACAACAACAACTGCTCACTGTAGCAGAATGCCCTCTCCACTTTTCTGCATCCTATCTACTAATAGGTACTGTTCAAGTCCTGCACCTTTCTTGCTATGAACAGCAGAGCCTATGGAAAGCTCAATGACCTCTCGATTCCCAAAGCACTTTGTCACTTCATGAAGCCAACTTTTCTCTTATGCTGTATTATATAGTTAGGCATATCTGTATCTAACCATACACATATGTATATATCCTCTCTCCCCAACAAAAAAAAATGGGTCTAAAACTTCCTTACAGTCTCCCCTCTCCCATGACATAAAGCACAATGGCATCACACCATATACTTAATAAAGTTATTTATCTATACATATTTACCGAATGACTACAATATTATAAAAGCTCTATAAAGCTATGCAGAATTAGATGTAAGAAGACATAGATCCAGCTGTTGATGGAATTCTAGTTTCTCAAGTGAATTATATACTTTAAAATAAAGACACACTTTCAAAGGAAGACACAGTCAACTCTGTTCACTCTACAACCAATATATATACCAGGGTATTGTTGTTGTTGTTAAATGCCGTCAAGTCGGTTCCGACCCATAGCAACCTTGGGTGTCTGCAGCTTGAATCACTGACATTGTGAACCAAACCAACTTTGTAATCTAATGCATTAACCCACAGCGCCACACCAGGACTCCATCCTACGATATTGGCATTTGGGAAAAAATATCGGCTCTCAAAAATCTGCCACTGAGAGGCAGAGACAATGACATGTGACGTGGAGCAATGGAGCAGCTGGGGACTTTAGATCCAGAGAGGGAGAGCTGAAGACTGGGGGGAGGAGAGAGGGGCAGATAGTGTAGGGGGCAGGCTTGCAGGGTATACCCTTTGGTTGGTTGATGATGCATGGAGGGGATTATAACCATGGCAGTGATACAATATACGATAGAATGGTTGTAAAACTAATGTTCACCCATGTAAACTATCATATAATTCACAATAAAATACTAAAAAAAAAAAAAATCTGCCACTGAGCTGAAAGCAAATAAAAGATCAATCTCACAAAGGGTGATTTCTGAGTTTTAGAGAAGTGCCTACATCAACTAATATCAGGGTTCAAATGTCAATGTCTCTGGATTCGTTGGAGAAAAAGAAATGTCCTCAGTGAAACAGACTGTCACCTGGAACTGGACTGGGAATCAATTACCTCTCATCAGATTCAAGTCCATCCACAAAGAATTCAGACGCTAACTTCTCCTGAAGGAACCGATCCCAGCATTCCTTCTTGGCCTGTGCCAAGGTCTGAAGCATGTCCTTGGAGGTCACATCCTGATTTAAACCTTTGATTCGTCTCAGTTTCTTTTCTAAAGAAAGAAGTGGAGCTTAACAAGGAACGTGAATAGGAAATAAAATTTAAATCTAAATTGCAAAATGCCAAGTTAAAATTTTCTCAGCTCATGGATGCATCCACCTCCTCTACAAAACAGCTCAATTTTAAAGGAGAACATATAGAGGGGAACAAACATATTTTGCTTTTTCATTCACAATGTGCTCACTCTGTATTGTATCAGATAAATGTTTAACCCCAGCAAAGGGAAAAACCCATAGGTTTTCATAAATAAATCAATGGCATGTTTTCTTTTGAAATCACAGAAGCCCAGCATGTGTCTCTCTAAGGAATTCTTGTTTTCCCTGGCTTGACATGTGTATCCGATCATCTTTTCTCAACTACTGGGAAATGGTCTCTCTGAGGAGTAAATGGTTTTTCTTTTTGTTACAGTGACATGACATGATTTCCAAACCTTATGAGAAAGAATCAGGGAAGATGATGAGCGATCTAATGGTTCATTAGACACTAAAATTGACTTGATGAGAATTCAGTAGCAAGAGACCTTTAAGTAAGATCTCTATATGTGATTAAATTCTTGATTAAAGAAAAAGCATTTCCTAACAATTTTTTTCTAAGTTGCTCAACTTCTGGCCTGGATGATGGAGCCTCGTAAAAACAAATGTCTTGCAACCCCTTTGAGAATGGCCCATATGACTGCCTGGCGATGTTTAATTACTCTTCTTTGTATTTTAAGTATAATTATAGACCACATTTCCCCTTTTGAAGAATACAAGAAAGGGTTTCACCATTTACCTTTTGCCTTAATTTAGTCTCCAACTATAATACCTGAGGAAATTATGGCTTTTTTTGGGTGGGGAGGAAAAAGACAGGGAAGAGGATAGACATTAAAGCCCAAAACCAAAAGATACTTTATGATTTGCAAACCTGCTTTCATTTCTAAACAAGTCACATGAGCTAGCATCCACTGATCTAAACAATGAACTTTTACTACTGTGAGTTATCACCACAGAGCTCAACCATATAACTTGATAAATATTTGAAGAGCTTTATCATCTCTTTGAGGATGAAAAGAGTTGTGTGTGTCTCCTGTTTAACTGGCTAAGTTCTTTGCTGTTGCCCTTTGCAGTGAATTCTCTTTGAACGAGGCTTATTTGGCAATAAAAACAATCCTCATGTCATCTGTCCTTGGTTGTCAAAGTAGAAGATGCTTTGCACTAGAAAAGGTTTCCCCCTCTTTAACTGTATAGAGTCCCTGGTCAAAACTGACCTGAGTAGAGCAGGCAGAAATAGAAGTCATTATTATATACTCCAAACCTACCTGCCACTCCTATTTTTCTCAGAGAAGGAAATGATAATCATTGTAACTGATTTCAGGAAGGAGCAGTCAAGTTTAAACTTTCAGAACCAGTCTTTACCAGTCAAAATCATCACCATCTTCATGACAGTCTCTTATAACCCCTGGGTACATAGCACCAACCAGCCAAAGGATCTGGTTTTTTAGCTTTCTCGGACTACTGCTTTTGCTCCTTATCATCATGAAACAGATGCACTGGCTTCCACAAAACAGCATTTTCAACCACTGGCTATAGCTATAGGCATTACTCTCACATCCTATCTTTGGTGGCTTCATATTGCTGCTGCTGCTGCTGCTGCTGTGGTGGCTGTTGCATGCCTTCGAGCCAGTTCCAACTCAGAGCGGCTCTGTATAGGGTTGTTGAGGCAGTAAATCTATAGGGAACAGAAAGCTTCATCTTTCTCCTGCAGAGTGGCTGATGGATTCAAACTGCTGACCTTGTGTTTAGCAGCTCAACATGTAACCCACTGTGCTACCAGGGTTCCTTGGCTTCATATTAGATCCACAAATTTCACACTAAAACCTCACTTTTTTTCAATCTACTGCTCCAACTGTATTTTTTTCTTATCTTTTTTCCCCAGTACATTGTTAACAGGAGTCCTGTATGACACTGTAAGATAAGCACTACACTGCTAATCACAAGGTCGGTGGTTCACACCCACCAGCCAGTCTTCGGAAACACTATACAGGGTCACTATGAGTAGGAACTGACTCGATGGCACTTAACAACAACAACATTAACAAAATCCCATTGTTTCCCAAGATATTTCTTAGCAATCATGTAAGCTCTCTTCTGCCTCTACTTTCTGCCCTTCCTCAAAATCCCCTCTTTTGCAAATTGCCTTTCCTTCTGCAAATATTCTCACATTTGGTTTTGTAACACTTCTTGAGTTACAAGGAGAGGTGTCATGAACGTTCAATAATAAAAGAATACCACAGTTGCAAACATTGGCTATCACTGCCCTAGACTGGCATTTCCTTTTCTTCTAACTTGGGGCAATCTTAATCTCTTTCTTGTGTTTGGAGTCTGTCTAGATGCTTAACCTAAAGGCTACAGACAAAGTTCTAAAGGTGTGCTCAGGGATGTGAAATAAAATAGCTAACAAGAGACAAAACAAATTTTACTTTAATATGCTCCCAATCCAACAACCAATTTATTTAACATGACAGTTTTTCAAATTGAAGTCTCAGAAATCCATTATAATAGATCTTTAGGATGACATAAGGTTTGACACCTTTGAGCTATTTGATTAAACGGGCCACCAATACTAGACAAGAGGGTTCTATAGAACACCAAGAAAGTAAGCAGAATTTAGACAAAAGAGTCAGAGGAAAAAAGTGACAGACTGTTATAAGGGATGGGCAAAGAAAGGGTAGCTTTTCTCAACAACCTAACTTGAAACACGCCCTAAAATTACATCTGAGAAATACATGTGGCATGGTTAAAAAAATAAAAATAAGAATCAAAAAGCAGGCTTCACGGAACAGATTGTTTATATGCTTCCAGTAACCAGCTTCTATTTTTTTTTTTTAAAAAAGAGCCATCAAACTTACCTGAAAAAACCCCCAACTATTCCCACTGAGTTGACTCTGACTTACAGTGACCTACAGGACAGAGTAGAATTGCTCTTAGATTTCTAAGACTGTAAATCTTTGTGGAAGTGGTTACATCTTTTTCCCTGCAATCTAACATCAATTATGAGGATGGCACAGGACTGGGCAGTGTTTCATTCTGTTGTCCATAGAGTCGCTATGAGTCAGAACAAATTCAATGGCATCTAATAACAACTTACCTAAGGATGCTAAATATACTTCTGAATCTTGCAAAGGGGCCCAAGGTTGTAGAGATGGCTGGACAGCAAAGCCTGCTGCCTCCCTGTGGCCTTTGCTTGCAGGACAAGAATCCACAAAGGAGTCTGAGAAAGCATTGCTGGCACCATCCTCTTGGTCAGGATTTGGCATACAGGAACAGATTTCAGCCCAGAGATCCAGGCCAGATCTTGTGGCTGTAGAGTCAACACTCTCAAACATTTTCATTAGGAATCTGAGCTGAAAAATAGAAATGCAAGTGACTAAAGACTAGTTTTAAGAATAAGTATATGGTACTCATATTTGTTTACCCATTGAAGGAAGGTAACAGATTTTTAAATAAGTTTCTTTTAACACAACAGATTCATACATTACAGATAAAAGCATGACAAAGGAGGGATGTGGTTCCTCTTCTAGTTCTGCTGTTTTCATAATGAAATTTGTCTTTAAAAATGGGACTTCTAGGACATTTCCAGTATTAACAATTAGTTCCATCTTTCTCCAAAGTTTTCTAAAATGCAACCACCTTGTTCTCAGCCAATTAAATTCTCTGTCTTCAAAAAGGTACAAATAATGGTCTTGCACAGCCCCATATACATAAGGACAGTACATGTGCTTGGTGACAAGTGGATCAGAGAGAATCATTAAATATAGAAACTAGCTTATATGCCCCATGCTCATATTTTCATAGAAACACTGAAAATAATGTTCACCATTTACAGATGAAGAGACTGAGGCTCAGCGGCCCAAGAGCACATTACTGATATATCCTTGCTTAGAAACCAGACCTGTGCTACTCCAAAATGAAGTTTTTACCCAATACCACACTGCCTGCTTGGAAAATATACTGAAAGTCACCCAAGGAAATATGCATACGGCCTAAGGGTGGGTTATAACTATCAAGATTTATAGAACGGGAGAAAGATGAAACTTTCTATTCCCATAAAAATCTACAGCCTCTGAAACCCTATACAGGGTCGCTATGAGTCGGAACCTAACAACAACAGGCTTATAAGATGGGTTGACATCTTTTTTAGGAAGGAATCTTTAGGATCAGAAAGACTTCCTGAAGCAATGTCTGAACAATTTCAGGAAATTTTAGCCAGCTACAAGGGCCCGGAAGTAAAAGAGACAAATATGTCACCGCGGCCCTAGGTGAACCAAGGGCCAAAACGAGCTCCACCATCTCCCGCTTGAAGTCATGTGAACCCATCTAAATCACAAGTCGGCTTGCACCTCTTTTTCGCAGGGTGTCCAGAACCGCGCAGATAACCCAGCTGTCCTGACCCCCGCCCACAGTACTCGGCCTTAAGGTCTGGCCAGGTGGTATGAATCACACCCGCGACCTATGAGCTGGGCCGGAGCCTGAGGAATACAAGACATTGGGCACCCAAGCCCCTCCTGACCTACCCCAACAGCCTGACCAGCAGCCCGCAAACGTTTGTTTCAGCTCCGTTGCTGGCTGGCAGTGGGGAAGAAACGGGGTGGGGCGGAGTCTCTGAGTGACGATCCCGAGAGTTCTCTAATCACCGTCAGTGTCGGAGATGTTCTGTGTGTCTATTGGCTAAAAAGAACTCAACTGGGTGAGGAAGTGAGGAGCAGAGAGGTTAGAAATGGTAGGCGGGTCTGTTGTTGCCAGGAAACTGTGCGGTCACGTGACCTGCGTCCCTGTCTTTCTTTAAGGCTGAGTTGATACTAGTAAATTGCTGGGCTCGGTCCGAACCCGCAGAATCCCTTCTAACCATACCTGCTCTAATAATGAAACCCTTCACATTTCTTGGTCCCCCGAGCTTTAATTAATCTTCTCGTCAATTCTCTGGGCTGGTGTTTGTCTCCTAAAATTCTATCCCTTTGCTACTCAAGTTACTTCAGCCCCTCGGTTAGGAAAGAAGCTGCTTCTCTCCCTACTCTCACAGAAGACCCGTGTTCCATACATGGAGTTATGAAAACTTTCCTCAGTCGTCGGTAAACATAAGGAACCCTTCTGGTACAATGATTAAACATTCAACTGTAAACCAGAAGACTGATATTTGAACCCACCAAGTCCTGGTGTGGTGCTGTAGGATAATACAATGGATCTTAAGGTCGGTTTGAACAGCAAGATCCTAGGTTCAAACTCACTAGGCGCTCGCTCCTCGGAAACCCTACACAGGGTCGCTATGAGTAGGAACTAACTAGAAGGCACGAACAACAGGTTCAGCACTAGGATAAGCACTGGACCGCTAACCTCAAGGTCAGTGGTTCAAACCCACCAACTGCTCCTCCAAAACCCTATACTGGGTCACTATGAGTCGGAACCGACTTGGTCGCACTTAATAATATCAAGTGGCTCCGCAGGAGAAAGACAAGCCTCTGTAAAGATTCTTCTTGTTGTTAAGTGCTGTCGAGTCGGTTCCGACCCATAGCAACCCTGTACAGGATTTCCGAGGGTGTAAAACAATGTAAAGCCTCATCGTTCGCCCGCTGAGCGGCAGGTAGTTTCGAACTGCTAACCTTAAAAAGTTCGCAGCTTGATTCGTAACCACTACGCTACCAGAGATTTGTTGTTGTTAAGTGCCGTCGAGTCGGTTCCGACCCATAGCGACCCTGTACAGGGTTTCCGAGGGTGTAAATCTTTACGGGAGTAGAACGCCTCATCTTTCTCCCGCGGAGCGGCTGGTAGTTTCGAACCGCTGACCTTAAGGTTCGCAGCCCGATTCGTAACCACTACGCTACCAGAGATTACAGCCTATAAAACCCTGTATGGCAGTTCTACTCTGTGCCATGGTTAGACATGGCACCTAACAGCAGCAACATTATTAAGCTGTGTTCTAGGCATAATGTTACACAACAGCTCAAGACAGATCATGACTTGGTGCTGACTATGCAAAGACAGGATTGGATCACAACAAAATATGGATAACATTGTCAAGAATGGAAATTTCGGAACAATTACTTGTACTCTTTTGGAACCTGCACCTAGAACAAAAGGTAACTAGAACAGAACAAGGGGATGCTTTGTAGTTTAAAATTAGAAAAGGTGTGCAGCTAGGGTTAGTGTCACCCAGTGCATTAACCCATAGTGTCACATGCCTTCACACCCCCACCCTATGGACCTCCTCCCAACTGGACCATACAAAATCTTCACAGTCAATTTAAATCATAGAATTATGTGTGATAAATTAGATGTAAATATAGCTGTAAATTTCTTAAATGTAACCTTTCTTATATGAATACTAATTGTTTTGTAAAATATTTCTACATTGATTTACATTAGTAACTGAGCATAAACAATTTTAAATCTTTTCTCCTTTTCTTTTAATTACTACTTCATTTTTAAAAACGCTATTGATATAGATCACAAATACTAATGATCATAGTATAGCTAAAACATCAGATATTTGACAAAATCAGCAACTATAAAAACATAACAAAAAAATAAGAGCTCATGCTTGTAGTGCTTGTGGATGAAACCACATGATTTGAAGTGTCACTGCAATTGGTTACTAATGACTGTTTTGACCAGACCCCAATGTTGTTAGTGCCACTGAGCCAGTTCTGACTCATAGCCGTCCTCTACAGGGTTTCCAAGGAGCGGCTGATGGGTTTGAATCCATTGTTGTTGTTAGGTGCCATTGAGTCAATACCAACTCATAGCGACGTTACCCACAACAGAACACATTTAGAAAGTTTAAAAATTAAATTAGCATAGAGTTTAAGCATTGTAAATATATTGATACAAGTAAGCTAGACTTAGAAAATTGTTTTGGTTGTTATAGCTAACTAAAGGGATATTTTTATTTAAGAAAACAATAAATTTCTGCGGAAACACTGCACAAAAATTTTATAGACAGTCATTTTGGTGTCACCAGGTACAGTCTCCACACCTGCTCCCCTGTAGTGATACCACTGGTGCAGGATTGTATTCTTTCACCATACTTATTCAATCTGTTGTTGTTGTTGTTGTTGTTAAGTGCCGTCGAGTCGATTCTGACCCATAGTGACCCTGTATAGGGTTTCCAAGACGCAGCTAGTGAGCTTGAACCAACGACCTTGCAGTTCAAATGGCTTTGCCGTCTGGCACATTAACCCACAGCACCACACCAGGACTCTTATTCAATCTGTATGGACTATATAAAAAGAACACACATCAGGAATGGAGAAATACTTATTTGCAACCTGTGATCTGCGGGTGGCACAACCCTACTTGCTGAAAGTGAAGACAACTTGAAGCACTTACCAATGAAGACAAGAAACCTACTATCTTCGGTATGGATTACTTCTCAACATAAAACAAAAATCCTCCCAACTGGACCAATAAGTAACATCATGCTAAACAGAAAAAAGGTTGAAATTGTCAAGGATTTCATGTTACTTGGGTTCACAATCAACACCCATAGAAACAACAATCAAGAAATCAAAAGGTGTTTAAAAGCAAATATGTCTGTTTAAAGATTAAGGTGTGCCTAGACATGGTATTTTCAATCACCTCGTACATACATTGAGGTGTACTTTAGGCTGTGTAGTCCTTGATCTTCATCAGTAAGTATTTCAAATTTTCTTCACTTCTAGCAAGCAATGTTGTGTCATCTGCATATCACAGGTTGTTGATGAGTCTTCCTGCAATCCTGATGCTATGCTTTTCTTCATAAAATTCATCTTCTCAGATTTGCTCAACATATTGATTGAATAAATATGGTGAGAAGATATAATCCTGGTGCACACCTTTCCTGATTTTAAACCATTCACTATCCCCTTGTTTTATTTAAATGACTGCCTCTTAATCTATGTACAGGTTCTGGAATACTCATTTTTCACAATGTTATCCATAGTTGGTGATGATCCACCTAGTCAAATGCTTTTTGCATCATCAATAAAGCTGTAAACTTCTTTCTAGTATTCTCTGCTTTCAGCTAAGATCCATCTAATGTCAGCAATGATATCCCTAGTTCCACATCCCATTGGTTTTAGAATATTAAATTTGTATCATAGTAAATCAGAATTCTTATTTTAAACAATGTAAATCATTCAATCTCTGAATCCCAGACGTGTGTATCTGTCTATACAATATCTCCACTGGGTTATCTAAATATATATTTTGAATTTAATATGTTCAAAATCCATCTCCTAATCTTATGTCCCAAACCTGTTCCACTCTTAGTCATCCCCATCTTATTTGCTACACGCTCCATTGTTCTAATTGCCCAGGCCAAAAAAAACACTCTAGTCAGCCACAACAACTTTCTTTGTTCCCTG